CTAAGAGAAGTCAGGTTCCAAAAAATATACCTATCTGACTATTTATATGAAAATCCACAAAAATAACACATAAAACAAATTACCGGTTATCTGGAACCAGGTTTGCTTTCTTCATTCTTTGTTTCTGTGTGCATGTGTGGTGTAAACTGCATCGCATGTTAAACATTTATTCTGCCATACAGCTACACTCCCAGCCACCCATCTTTTTTCTCCCCCGTAGGTGCTAATGTGGTTAGAGAGGGCTATAATTGGAAAAAGCACAAAAGAACCTTTTTCCTTACTATTTTTTTTTTTTTTTTTGGGCAGTACTGGAGATTGAACTGGGGACTATGCATTGAACTACATTTCCAGTTGCACACACATTAAAAATTAAAAATGAATTTATAGGACCAGTTCATTTTAAACTGGAACCCAGGCATAACACTGGAAAGGAGGGACATACCCTGACCTTAACAGGGAAGAGAAGATGACATATCCAGCAAACTTGATGCACACTGACAACATCAGCTTCTGCGGGGAAACGTGACGAGCTGAGGGTGCTAGTGGGAGGAGCTATAGGTGGAAGACATCTAGAGTAGAAGAGTTTTCTCCTGAAATAGAAAATCATACCACAGAAATATGGTGTTGTACCTGAATACTGTCTTCCAAAATTTGTATATTAAGGTTCTAAAGCCCAATATCTCAGAATCTGACCAAATTGGAGATTTATTTATTTATTTATTTATTTTTGTCTTTTTGAGACAGGGTCTCGTTATGCAGTTCAGGCTGAACTTCAGCTCACTTTGTAGCCCAGGCTGATCTCGAACTCACAGTGATCCTCCCGCCTCAGCCACCCTGAGATTACAGGCGTATGCCACCACGCCCTGCTTGGAGATAAGATCTTTAAAGGAATAATTAAATAATAATTAAATGGATGGTTAGGGCAGGGTTAGGGTTAGGCTTAGAGTAGGCCCTGATCCAAGTCAGAGGAAGAAAACGGAACACACTGACACTAGAACAGTACTGGCGGACCCTTTCAAGCTTTCAGTGATACAAACAGCCCACATCATCGGTACTGCCCTAGACATGCACAGGTACAGAGGAACAACCGCGTGGAGCAGGCGGGCAGCCCCCGGAAAGCAAGAGCGGGCTGCAGCCGTCTTCCTGTCTCCCTCAGAGAAAACCAGCCCTGTCGGTACCTCCATCTTGGCTTTCTAGAACTCCAGAACCGTGAGGATGTAAGTTTCTGCTGTTTTGAACCACCTAGACTGTAATGTGTTGATACAGCACCGTTACGGTTTAAATCTTCGGTGTCCTCCAAGTCTTCTGTATCTGGAAGGTGACTGGGTCATGGACGCGCTGTACACATCACTGGTACATTCACAGTTGACTTGGCCGCTGGGCCTGGGTACTGCGGCTTGACCTAGAAGAGGGTGTCTCCTGCCCTGGCCCCTCCCTTGTTTCCTGGCCACCATGACATGAGTGGCTTTTCGCCAGACTCTTCCCCTGTGCCATTTCTGCCTTGATGCCACCTGGACAGCAACCAGGACCCAAAAGAAACCTCTCCTCAAATTGTGGGTATTTTGCCAAGTAGTGAGAAAAGCGACTATGGTACAGCCTTAGCAAGCACAAGTGGTAGTTTCTGGGCAATACTGAGTTCTGGCTTGAGGTACCTGGTCATGGATTTTGTTTTGTTTTGTTTTGTTTTGGGTACTGGGAATTGAACTCAGGACCTTGCGCTTGCCAGGCAGGCGCTGTGCTGCTGAGCTAAATCCCCAGCCCCCTGGTCATAGATTTAAACAGCAATAACCCTATGTGTTTCTCTGGCACTATGTGACAATTGCATTGGTTTCAAACAAAGGAAAAGCAAATGGTAGAGGTCATTCGGGGGATTTCCAGATGAACACTGAAGAGAAAGCCAAAGGCGCGGAAGCTAACTGCATTATCTGTTGGGAGCGGCTGGAACATAATTAGACGTGCAAGACAAGCAGCCCGAGAACACGGGAGCTCCAAGACCACGGGCGCTCCTGAAAGCACATAAACTAGCCGTTGTAGCCTGTTAACGTGATTACTGCGCAGGAGGCGGAAATTAACCACCCTCTCGAGGGCATGAATAAGTGCTCCACTGTTCTTGGGCAGGTCCCCTTCTCCGCTGAGAGAGAGAGGCCCTCCACCTGACCCCAGCTTTTTGTCTCTTGTCCATTTTTTCCTTGTTCTTGCCGCTGTTCCTTCCCGGGGTACAGCAAGAACCCAACAGATCCCTACAATTATCCTAACTAAATCATAATGCACCCTCCACCTGTACACCTGCGCCAGAAAATGAGGAGTCATCTGACTGCTCACGCACTTCCGTCCATTCTACCTCTTACTCCCTCTCTACCCCAACCGCACATTCAGTCTCTGGTGGGATTACTGCAGGAGCCACCAAGCCATCCTCCGTCGTAATTTTTATTATTTCACTGTGTATTTCCGATAGTTCCTCACCACTTACACGACAGAAGTCAGATTTCTGTCATGCAAGACCTTTCATGTTTTGTCCCTACTTTTTCTGCCTCTTGTAGCATCTCTCTTCCCACCCACAAGAATCCTACACTGCAGCAATGCTCAAATACTGGCAATTTCAACAATCACAAGGCTGTTCTTTGCCTAATCCCACCACCTACTTGGCAAACTAGGAATTTGCTGAGGGACTGCTCTTCTAAAACTTGCCTACAGCTTTCCTCCCTGCTCAGGCAAGGCTGAGAAACGGCCTTTGCCCTGATTTGCTTGGATGCAGCGGAGCCCCAGAAGCTGTATTTCAGACATAAATCAGTAACGATGGGTAATGCACAGGTTGGCACCAACATACACACGCTCATTTGTTTACCATGGGATCACGTCCCAGTACACCCATCATAAAGTGAAAATGTAACCCGAACACGTCTAAATCACCCACCCTACTCGACATCATGCTAGCACGTGGTAACGCTGGTCTCTCCTGCTGACCTAATGGCTGAGTTGCTGCTTATCGCCGCAGCCCAGCATCATGACAGGACTGTACTACCTATCACTAGCCCAGAAAAAGCTCAAAATTCAAAACTGGAAATAGTTTCTACTGCACGTTTTGCATCATCATAAAACCTAAAAAAAAAAAACTTAAACCATCCTAAGTCTGAGATTGTATTTTATTACGTGTGTGATCATGAAGAGCTGAGTGGCAATGAGCCTTTGCTTGATGGTAAAATAGATTACTATAGGACGGCTTAGATGGTTAAGATGACACCCATTTTTCAAGTCAAAGGCTTCAAAAGCACTGCGCTGGCCAGAGTACAGCTGTGCCTGTTAACTCTTAGCACCTAGTGTCTACATTAAGTCTTAGGTAAGCTTAGTCCTGAATTCTCCCTTTGCTGTTTCTTAGCTGTGCGGACTTGGAGCTTCAGTTTCACATCTGTACACTGGGGATATCTATTTCAGAAGATTGATTTTAACGCTATAAATTGCCTACTGGAGCTGGGTGTGTGGGCGCACACCTGTAACCCCAGCACTTGGGAGGCCGAGGCAGAAGGATCACTGTAAGTTTGAGTGGGCTACAAAGTGAGCTCAAGGCCAGCCTGAACTGCACAATGATACTGACTTGTCTCCCATCTCTTCAGAACCAAGATTTTGTTTCTCAATGTCTTTTGAGATTCAAGTTAACCATGATCATTTCTCAAAGTTTTGTGACCCATACATGGATAAGAACAAACAGAAGTGCCAGTTGTGGTAAACTGCTTGAGCTATTTACTCTATCTGGGCATCAAAATAAGTTCAGGGTATTAGATTGCCCCTACACACCAGACACTTCTATGAGTGAAAAGCATTTGAGTATTTATTTAACAATATGGACTATTAATAGTTCAGTGTGTTTAAATATTCAACAACGAAATGCCTAAGCACTGTGTTAAGTGCAGTGAATAAAAAAAAAATCGGGGCTGGGGATATAGCTCAGCGGCACAGCCCCTACCTGGCAAGCGCAAGGTTGTGAGTTCCATTCCCAGTACTGCAAAAAAAAAAAAAAATCAGTTCCAACCAGTTAATTTCCTATCATCTTTTTTTTTCTGAGACAGGGTCTCGCTATCCTATATCTTGTTTTCAAATTCTGTAGTCTTTAGTTTTTCTTTACTCTCAAAAAAAAAAAAAAAAAAAAAAAAATCAGCGTCTCCACCATACCCATACACACTAACTGCAGATATTAAACTGGGAAATGGCTAGGTAGCAAATCTGGTATTTCTGGTTAATTCGGTGTTGGAAATGAGACCTGCACTCATACACCAGTCCTGAAGTCTGTACTCTTTGGAAAGCCATCTGACATCAGGATATTTAAATGTCTGAGCTTTTGGCTCTAAATTCTGTTTATTTATAATCTCAAGACCTGTTGAAAATCTATGTATATAAGAGGACTTTTAAAAAATACATGAAAATTATGTTATTAATAATGGGTCGTTTTTCCTTGTACGTGCCTGCAAATTTCCTATTAAATGATCCCAGCATGGAGGTGCATGGTTGTGGTCCTAGCATGAGGGAGGCTGAAGCAGGAAGATCCCACAGTTTCAAAGCCACCCTGGGTACACAGTTAGTTCCAAGCCAGCCTGAACTACATAGTAACACCCTGTCTCAAAAACCATTTCCTTTTAAATGTATGTATAGCAGTTAAAAACATTTCTGCTTCGAACGAAGTCCCTTAAGTATTTTCTCATACATAAAATAGTTCCAACTATACAGGGTCTGTAGTTGGTAACACATAGTACCTGGCTATCTCTGTTACATCTGGAAAAAGTGTTTTATTTATTGCCTGTTTTTTGGAGACAAGGTCTTGCTACATAGCCCCGGGTGGTCTTGAACTCGCCATATTCCTGCCTCAGCCTTCCATGCTGGGACTTCAGATATGGGCCACCACTTCTCGCAAAAAACAAAACAAATAAAACCCAACACACTCAACTAGTGAATATTATAATATGCTAAATCTCTCTCACACACAGAAATACACTTTTATGATAACAATCCTAATAAGTAACTTTTTATTTCGCTTAAACATCCCCTTTGGTAGTCAGTGCAGAAAAAAATGCTGTTTTTAGTACGTTGAACTGGAAAAGCTTTATTTCCACTGAACTTTAGGCAATTACTTCTGCAAAATACCACTGCCCGACAAAGCTTCCATCAAGGGCCTCATACTTGGGCAAAGAACAGAATCACAGCTTTATTGCACCCTTCATTCAAGGTACCTTTTATAGCATTAATGACTCCAGGGGACCCCGATGTCTTCTTATCAAGCTGCAGAAACAAGGGACCCAACAGGTCACTGCCCCGGACGCCCCACACCCAGCCCCCGCATCCAGGTCTGCTCGCGTCCGCCGCACACTGCTCTACAGGTTCACATCTTCCCCGCATCTCAGCGCTTCGGCTCCCGGGCCCGGCGCCTGCCCGGCGGAGCGCGGCTCCGGCTCAGGACCACTTCCGGGAGACGTTGAGGTGGCCGAGCTGGTCGGCGGCGAACCTGTGCGGGGGGAACTTGGCCGCGCGGGCCGCCTTGATGGCCTCGAAGGCCCGCGCCCTGCGCTCGGCGGCGTGGCCGCGCTCCTGCGCGACGCTCATGTAGGGCATGCTCAGCCAGTACTGGTTCTCCGCCTCCACCTCCAGGCGGCGGACCAGGTTCTGCTTCGCCTGCTCCGACACGAACCGCGGCCGCCGGTGCTTCCCGATCCACTGCCGGCCCGGGATGCGACCGCGGCGGAGCACGGCGGTGAGCAGCATGGCTCC